TACACACTCTGTGCTGTGTGGAGGTGTTGACTCTCCGTCATGGACGGCAGACTCTGTAGCAGTGCATTACTGAGCACCACAAATGCTGCTCTCTCCTGCACACTGCTGCCCTGACGGCTCAGGATATCACACACATTCTGCAGCTGCAAGATTGACACATGAGACAACACAGTTTGAACTTTGCAAAGACAATGTTGGTTTGTATTAATAAGTTGGTTCAAACATGAATTTATGCGGAAGGTGTTTTTAAGAATGCAACATTAAATTGTTCACTGTATGGACAAAATAAACATTCAAAGAAACAAATGCATACAGGGTTAGAATGATGTGAGGGCGAGTAATTTTCATTTTTAGGTCAACATTCCTTTGCTTGGACAGGAAGTTTGACACTTACAGTGCTGCGTTTGGTTGCATGATCCATGTTGGCCAAGTTCTTGATCAGAGTTGTTGTGAGCATTTGGTTGACCACACCGAGCACATCTGATGGAGAGGTTTTGACCAGAACATCCTTCAGCACTATAAATAAAGAAAATTAATCAAGACAACAGGGAATCTATCAGTACTGATTTAATCAAATTATCATCAGATAATGTTCTATTTCTCTGACTATTTCAAGCCACTATGGGCAGTGTAATTAATATTAACCAGTAATATCAAAGCCTAATTATCCAATCAAATAGCAATTGATAAAATCAATTCCCGCAGAACATTTTTTTTATACTCAGAAATAAGTAGGAAATTGATAATTAAGCAAACCTAAGTTGCTTCAGTCCAAAGAGTGTTAATCTTGAAATATTACTATCATTTTAAAAGTTATTCTAATGAGTACTTTTATTTGACAAAAGACACATGTACCACGACCTGAGGTGGACTAAAAGGCCTTTTACTAGGTAAAAGAAAAAATATATAAACTACATATCAAATGACAGAAGGCATGCAAAATTGTGTACAACAGATTTTTTTTAGCAAAGTTTTGATTATGTTGATAATTTAGAGGCCTTAGAAATCTGCATATCCAATATGATACATTAGGCATTATTTAAAACAAATCCTTCTACTGTAAAACAGATTTCACTGTAAAACAGCAGCAGTGTTTACCTTTGGCCCAACCTTGAGTAAGGGGATGCTGGGACAGCAAAGTGGATTCAGCAACACAAGATGCCATCTGCAGCTCCACACACTTGGGCGCAGCATTGGTCAACACCAGGAAGGGCAGAAGCTCCCAACTAATCTGTGCTTTAAGATCTGGGTTGCCCTCAGTAATATGTGGGTCATCGAAAACTTGCACAGCCTCTTTTAGCACTGAACACCTGCGGAAAACAAACCAGATAAAGCTAAGCTTCCTTCTTAATGTGTAAAATTCATTATTTATATTCCTACATTTAAAAAACAAACACTTTTTGTTGTTGTTGTTGTGGATGTCCCAATTGGGACACATGATTTGCAATTTTAAAGACTTCAATTAAATGTTCATGTTATATTTTGGCTGCATTTGTGAGTTAATAATGTGTAAAACAAGCACATAACTTAATATTTACACCCCTAATTATCATTTTTCATTATCATGGATGAAAAGAGCAGCATGGCTTAACGATACATTACAAAACTTATTACGCTGCCTACCTAGGCAGCATTTCAAGTCACTACAGGCATGCTGCCACTGCTACCTTTTAAGATGGCTTCAGTGTTTCCCCTGCCATGATACTGGGGGGGTGCCCCGCCCCTTGAAGGTCAAGTTAATTTGATTTTATTTTCTATATAGCGCCAGTTAACTACAGAAGTAATTTAAGGTTACCTTTCCTATAGAACAGGTCTATACCTT